ATAGACCACGCTAAATTTTGTACTGTTAGTTTTAATTGTAAAGAGATTAATTTTGGTTTGTTTCATCAATAATAAACATTACAAAAAGTTTTTTCAATGTTTTATTAGTGGCGTTGGCCTCGATCTAATGTCGCAACCAACCGCCGCCGCGCGCGTTGTCCTTCAGCTAACTCGGGGTTGATGCGTCTTGCCACATGTTCTTCCACATCCTCCCTTACAGCATCTATTATGCCGACATCCACGTCTGCGAGATCGGCGTCATCAGGCTCAGGAACATTATACTCTATACACATATTATGTAACACTATACAGGCGTTGATGATTCGACACGCTACATCAGGTGTATAGTGCAACACTCGATGCTTTGGTAAGCATCGAAAGCGCGCCTTCAGCACTCCGTTACAACACTCTATTTTCACTCGAGTTTGTTTGTGTGTTGCATTGTACTGGCGCTGCGGCGCAGTCAGTTCCTCGTCAGTAAACGGCGTCAACAGCCAAGGACGCAGGGGATATCCTGAGTCACCTACAAAAGCGTTGCCACTAAAACTACTACAGCTCTACCCAAATGCGAATAAACACACCTAAGAGGAAATAGTCCGTATGTCCGGCTAAATGTATTTGTCTTAACGTAGTTTGTAAGTTCGATTGATTCCAAATGAAAGCACCATTACTGCTCCCGGGGTACCGCGCAGAGGCATTGATAATTCTTAAGTCCGCATCACACACCTATAAGTATATTGGTTATAAGACATCTTTTGTTAAGTATTAGTCCGTTTTCACCAATTGAACATTTATGGAATGATTCCTATTCCTTCCTATTCACATACACATGCTCCGGGAAATTGGGATCGTTAGCGGCTGGGGGCACAATGGCCACATGAGTGCAATCTATACAACCGACGACCCCAGGTATGCCATGTAGATCATAGAATCTGCAACGATAAAATTTCAACTTATAGTTTCAGCGACCTTGAACAAAACAAATCGACAAAACTTTTTGTACTAACATACCTTTGTCGGATGGTATTGAGTTCCCGATAATTTTGGGGGAACTTCACCCATTCATTGAACACCTCTGGCTGTAATAATGCGTTGGTAACTTCCTTTAAGCACCTACTAACCGTGGACTGGCACACGTCAACATATTTATTACCGCCGATATCAGGTTGATAGCTACAGCTTGCGAAAAATTTCAACGCAATTAGGACCTATGAGTAGTACCGAATTAAACTTACTGTAACAAATATTGCAAAACAACGTTAAAGATAACATGTATTGCCTACCTTATTCAATACATCTAGATCTGTTGGTCGTTGTGCCGGACGTATATAAGGTTCTAAACATACAACTAATGCCTGTATGCACCATTTTCAGGTATTTTCGTAATTAGCTAATCAGGGCTAATTATGTAATCACGGTTAAAAAAGTCGATTCGATGTACCAAAGGATTTTGCATTTGCCTGGTATGCACCATTACACAAATTCTCTGATTAAACTTTAGCCGTGATCACATAATATTTTTCGTATGCACCAAGCGTTTTTTTCGCCTAATCGGCAATTAACTTAAATCGCTCGATGGCCTGGAATTTAGGATAACCGCGGCTATAATGAAATGAGGTTAGAATGTTTTGTTTTGTTTTTACATTTTAAAAACATTTTTGTCCCCAAAAAATTACTGGAAAAATAGTGTGTGGCGAGGGTGAGCAGGGAGAAATCAAATAAGGAATATGGAGATGGACCACCTATTATTTGACGAGGATTTGGATACTGATAAATAATGATTGTGTTAGATGGGCTTCCAATGCGTTGGAATGAGACGGAAAATTATTTTGAAGCCTTGGATGGATGATCTTATAAACCAATAGTCGTAGATCTTCCTGAAGAGGTGGAAGATGCCCTAACTTAACTTATGATAGGGTGGTAGTATTATATGCAATTTTATGGCTTGATTCCAGTAACTAATGACTATGTAATTACGGTAATTACTGTTTATTTCAAATAAAATGCCCAGGATGCTTTGTTTGTTTGTGTATACTGTATACCTAAAATTTATTCATCGAAAAAAACGCAGATATGGGGTCTCGCCAACCCAAAATTGGCTATTATCAGGGCCAAATACTGGAACTGATCTTCACAGTGGGAACTGATCCACTGCAAAATAAACAGGTCCGGTCCAAGTTCGAGTTCAAGTCCGGACCATTTTTGCGTTGTCTACGTTGTACGGACTCGGAGTCAAACTCGAACTAATCGGATCACGCCGCGCCGGCCAGTGGAACAGGAAAAAGTGTGGACTCGGAGTAGGGACACAGATTCAGAGACGGAGTACATTACACCGACAGACTCGTTTCGATCAACGGCTCCGGATTGTCGGGATCACGCCGCACCGGTGCGGCCGCTGGAACGGATAGAGTACGAGAGTGAACCGCCGATAGGATATAAAGCTGCTTTCCAGTATGTAGCTGTATTCCTTTCAAAAGTTTGAACCACTAGAGCTACTCGCTCCGGTGTGTCAACCCGATTTGAAAGGAACAGATTCGCCGACTTTCGTGCATTTATGGTTTACTTTGGGCTTGAGTGAGTACTCAGGTGCAACAAACACTTTTCGGAAGGAATAAGCGCGTAACGCCCCGGAGCCTCTATGCCCGGAGCTGTTCCGGAGCTCCTCATACTATTTACCATTTTCACGTATTTTCGTTATTAGCTAATCACGGATAAATATGTAATCACGGTAAAAATGTCGGTTCGATGCACCAAAGGATTTTGCACTCAAATTAGTTAATTGTGATTTTGTAATGAGGGCCACCTGAAAGGAACTCACCGATAACGTCGCAAATTTCCTATAGATTTTAATAAAAGGCAATAAAAGCCCATTTTGGGTTGGCGGTATGTGGGGTTGGCGAGACCTATTCTGCGTTTTTGTCGATGAATTTTAATTTTATAAACAAACAAACAAAACATCCAGGGCATGTAGGGCATTTTATTTGAAATAAACAGTAATTACATAGTCATTACCTAGTGATTGGAATCAAGAATCAAGTCATAAATTTGCATAGAATGTAGGTACTACACCCTATAATAATGATAGGGCATCTTCTACCTCTTCAAGAAGATCTATGATCTATGACATTGGCTTATACCTAGATCAGATCATCCAAGGCTTCAAAATAATTTTCCCTCTCATTCCAACGCCTTGGAAACGGAAACCCATCTAACACAATTTCATTATCCAAATTAATCATTGTCAAATAATGTCACTCCACCTCCATATTCCTGATTTCAGTTCTTTTTTTTCCTGGCTCACTTCACACAAATTTGTTCCAGTTGTTTTTTTACAAAAATGTTTGTAAAATGTAAATATGAAATTTGAAATCGGAACCAAAACAAACAAAACACCTAACCTCATTTTATTAACTAGCCGCGGGTATCTTGTTCTAAATTCCAGGCCATCGAGCAATTTAAAGTTAATTGCCAATAGGCGAAAAAAACGCTTGGTGCATATGAAAAATATTTTGTGATCACGGCTAAAGTCTTAATCAGAGAATTTGTGCAATGGTGCAACGGGCATAAATATCTCAAAAGCTCTTTCGACAATCGAAACATAATAAACTGTCTTTGGTTTAGCTCAACGAATGGATCACGGGGGTTATGTCGATGGTTGCGTCGATTTCGTATCTCTGCATTTTCCAAATTACGAATTGCCAGCACATTCATCAAGTTTTCCATATTAGTAAATTCACAATGATCCAATCACAGATTGATCCAATAATAAAATCGCTTTCAAACAAACTGACAAACACTTGACATAACAAAAACGTATACGCAAACAGAATAAGGCGACTGAAATACCGCTCGCAGAAAAGCGCTTGAAAATATGCGCTTTCTTGCGTATACGAAACTTTGCGAACGGCCAAAAATTAGAACTTGTGGCTGTTCGCACATTTAAGAACGATCTACATACGTTTCTATATTTGCGTAGGGTCAAAAATTGACCACCTGAGCATTAATTTTTGATGCAAATATAAGTAAGGAGTTTTAGGGAGAAGCATGTTACGTAGCAACATATTTACTTAACAGAAGCCCCACGGAAGCTACTGAAAAGACCCCAATAGAATGCTGGACAGGTTATAAGCCTAATTTAGCAAGGCTGCAAATTTTTGGCTCCGCAGCCTATGCTAAAACCTTGGGTTATTTATAAAAACTTGACACGAGGAGTAAAAAGTATATCTTCGTTGGATATGCAACAAATGGTTACCGCTTATAGGATGAGAATTCAAGAAAAATCATTGTACAAAGAGATGTAGTTTTTGGAGAGCCTGAAAAAAGAGTTCAAGGGCAGAATAACACAATAAAGATGAATTTGGAAGAATACGAAGAAGACAATGAACAGAGTGAAGATGAAGATAATCTTGAAGATGACAGATTAACAGACAGTGAAGAATTATTATCAAGTGAATCTGAACAAAATCAATCAATGCAAAGAAATAAAAGATTAGGAGAAGTTCGTCTACAAACCAGAAGAGGAAGGGAAATAAAACAACCAGATAGATTGAAGGATTATATCGTCGCTGTCATTACGAAGTGGCCAATCTCTGATTTAACAACTTTTCAGGAGAGCGATTTGAAGAAAACTCTACTGTTCATTTTGTCTATAGCACTGGTCTGTGGCACTGGTGGACACAGAACCTGGTGGAGTTTATTCGATTGTTGCTAACGTTACGCACTGAATTGAAAACGATCTCGCTCTTTTGGTTATGTGAATAGGTATTTGTTTTGTGTTTTGTCATTCAAATGTCAATTTAAATTGTTTCAAATTTCCACAAATAACTTCAAAAATGCTGTATCCAAAGCAGTTGGAAATTATTATTGATTTCCTGGAAAAGAACCGAGATGTTGTTGCTGGAAGAGCTGCTGGACCTAATGCAAAAAAAATCATCAAAGATAAGTGGCAAACTCTTGCTGATAAACTTTAGTTTGGGATATGGGTTTAAGACTGCCGATAAATGGATGAAGGTAATAAATATCTCAAGGTAAAATAACATGTATGAAATGATGCTACTTCACACAAAAAATCCAAAGTTTAAAAAATAGGTAAGTATATTTCACAAATCATAACCCTTGATTAAGAAATATATCTAATGAATTGGAAAGAGATAAATACTTGAATACGCGAATGGCTTTTATCTATGTCTAACTGTATTATTATATTTTCAGACATGGACTGACATGAAATATAATTTAAAGAAAAAAGCGGCGGAAATTAAAAAGGAGCAAACTAAAACAGGAGGTGGTTTAGGAGTTACGAAAGTATTGACTCCGTTTTGATGAGAGGGCATTGCAGTTGCTCGGTTCGAGTTTTATTGGCCTAAACGAGCCAGAAGTTGGTGTAATTATAACATAGGTATATTTTTTTGATTATATGTATTCAATGAAATTTATTTTCAGTTGCCAAAATCTTATTCAACATTTCCCTTAATTCCACCAATTGATGAAAACAGAAATGAACCATCCACTCCAAAATTGATTGATGAAAATATGTGCCACATCACACGTGAACACTTAAAAAAGGCTTTGGAGTCATCTTGTTCTGTCAGTGGATGTTCAGAATCCTATTTATTAAGAGATGATATACAGAGGAATCCAAATAACATTAACACAGTTTTATCTGAGGTTTTAGTTCCTCACTTGGAACAGACTCTCGGAGGTAGACTTCCAGATCTTTCTGTTTTCTCAACCAAGGAACAAAATGGGAGTTCAAAAAACGATACAGGCAAGGACGCAACCAACGACTACCCATATTCTCCCAAGAAAAGGAGAGGTAAAGATTCAGTTGAAGAAAATCCTTATTCAGAGACAATTGAGATTTTTAAAAAAATTGAAAGCACATTGGAGACTAATTTGAGTGAGATTTCAAATTCTGTTAAAAAAATAGCAGAAAATGCATCTAAAAAACACTGCCAATGCTGTTTCTGTACGAAAAACGAGAAATGAAAATGGTTATAATGAATGAAATAATTATCACCTTTACCAATACTAGAATATTTTAAACTTTTGGGACATCCTTATCAAATAACCATGCTTAATGGTTATCATGGTTAAGTAATTAGATAGAAATTAGGGTTAATATTATGTTACTGTTAATAAAACAGACAAAAATGTAGTGAATGTATTGTTTTATTGTATATTTAAGTATAAATTCGATAAAAATTGGAATATTATCTAAAATAATTATTTATAATAAACTCTCTATCAGCTTGGCCGTCGCCAACATCTTCATGCGCATGATTTCCATTCATGTTGCCTGCTTCAGCGACATCGCCCAATTCTTGTTGAGGTACATCTTGAACTCCAACATTTTCTTCAATGCACATATTATGAAGTGCAGCACATACTTTTATAAGTTTACACACAAAAACAGGTGCATATCTTGCTGTCCGCTCTCTAAGTAAACATCTGAATCTTGTTTTTAGTAAACCTATGCATCTTTCTACACAATTCCGAACCCGCGCGTGTGCTTCATTGAACCTAACTTCTTCATCATTTACTGGATTCCGAATTAGTGTAATGAGATATGGTAAGAGAGGATACCCACTATCTCCAAGTAACCAACACATTTCATTCGGATAAAGAGTTTGTAAATAATCATTAATGGACGAGTTCCTATATGAAACTGTCATGTGTTGACCCCCCATTGTAACGTTTTCAATTTCTTGGCTAATAAGCTACCTTGTTTTGCTTTAGTAGATATGATTCCATATAGATCTACAATGAAATAAATGAATAAACAACTATCTTTTTTGTGCCCAGATTTTGTTACCTTGAGTGCTGCCTTCTACTAGAAGTTTTTTTGGTTCAGGTTTGCAAGTTTGGTTAATTGATCTAGGAAGGTTTGATTCAGTACGGCAGGGCCCGCTGTTATTGATTAGAATCTTAGGAAAAGGAGAGTTTTTTTCATCATCTCTGTTTGCAAATCTAATTGATAAATAAATAATCTGAGGTTATGATAATAATTGTTGTTTACTTTTTGATTTTTCATTTCCATCATGTCATTGAACAGCTGTTTTGTCTAGGCGTTTTCTTTAGACCTGTTCTACCTTTAGGCACTTTTCAACATTCACCAGTCATTTTTTACACAACCGATTCTCAGTTCGTACTTTTGGGGTGAAACTGAACACGTCCTTTTCTATAATTTTCTTCAATGTCAAAATTAGAAGTTTGACAGATGAAAGTCTTCTTCCGAAATCTAAATTCTAAATGAAGAATCTGCCCTTTTGATCTGCGACCTCACGCTGAGTAGTCGTCCGGTCTCGGGCCTCGGCCCTAAATATTTTTGGGGCGAGACTTTTTGGAATTTTGTGCCAGGGAGCTCAAGTTTTAGACTAATTTCTTGCTGATAATTGTCTAGAGTCGTCCCTTGGTCATTTTTGGATTCTGTTTCGGTAAGTTTGAGATTTTCTTCAGGAAATATTAACCTACAACACGTGTTCCATTTTTTTAATAGGACTGTTCCGAGCAGCATTTGGAAGTTTAAGACTTCACCTTTAGTCTAGAGTATCCCTCAATTTGAGGTAAGATTATTTCTAATATTTGGGGCTCGATTTGTTTTTTATACGAACATCGTTATAGGGTCCTAGTCTCAGGCTATAGTTGGACAATCCTAGTCTCAGGCTATAGTTGGACACTCCTAGTCTCAGGCTATAGTTGGACAATCCTACTCCTAGTCTCAGGCTATAGTTGGACAATCCTAGTCTCAGGCTATAGTTGGACAATCCTAGTCTCAGGCTATAGTTGGACAATCCTAGTCTCAGGCTATAGTTGGACAATCCTAGTCTCAGACTATAGTTGGACAGTTGCTAAGCTGTATTTAGAGAGATTCTAGACTGGATCTAGATTGCTCTCAGTTGGGGCTTTGGTAGCCATTCTTCAGCAACTCTCTTGGTGCCACTCTGGCAGAACCACGTCGAGTTCTACGTTGAACGGATACAACGTGGATAGGACTCATGACTCACTTACCATACCTTAGCCTATCTGTAGTGAGACCAAACCTGTAGATAATCTCACTTTGGGAACTTCTGGATTTTCACATACATTTCACTTGTATACATGTAAGTTGCACCTTTACTATTTAGGCAAATCTTATATAAATCATCTGATACCGAATTACGTCGGTAAGTGCCCCTTAAATAAAATTCTAGAATTTTACCCTGAGGTTGCCCTAACAATAACTTTCATCTTTCTGTGTTTAATTTGCCTGTTGGTAAAGTGTAACCCATACTGTAGTTTTCTTATCACTCACAAGTGTAAATACCAAAAGGTTTTTAGTCATGTTTACTTAAAATTCATATTTATATATGCGTTATTTTTTTTATAATCAAATATTTATAAATTGGTACAAGCCATAATGATGTCCTGGCCATCCCTATTCATTATTGTTTTTATTTTTTAATAAAGAAGCCAGATACATTATTGTATCTAATTAGTTGTTTTATTGATAAGCTCTCCAATTGCACAGGTTTTGTTTAAACATCATTAGGTTATCTTCCTAGTTAGGTCACAATTAACTTGGTGGCGCCCAAAGGTAAGATGTATACAAGGAACCCATAGACCCATGGCCTCCGGACTGATGCTGACTAGCCGTATGCAGTATAATTAGGCAATTGCCAAAATAAGTACGTTATACCATAATTTGCAAATATATTCCTTATTTTTAGCTGACTATCACAAATAATTTGATCGAGTGGTAACCTTTTCTGGTAATGTAGTTGTATTCCTCAAGTCTTGGTTTTAAAATTGCAATATGAGTGCCATCTACAGCTCCTATAGTCCCTGGAAATCCCCATTTTTGCAGAAATTCCAATTTGATATTATCTCGTTCTTCCTCACTGATACCAAACTGGATTTTGTGGTGTACGACATGTTCTATAATTATATTTGTCACAAGATGTACATATTTATGCACGGTGCTTTGGGCTATACCAAAATTATATTCTTCACCAATACATCTCTGATACGAGCCTGTGGCATAAAATTTCAAAGTGCATATTACCTTGTTGTCTAGAGTGACTGCCCGAGCAAGTTTTCTCTCTGGTACATGTGGCCTTATCAATTGTATGAGTTCTCTAGTTAGTCGTTTATTAAGACGGAATAACTCAACAAATCTTGCCTCTGGAAGAGAAAAGGGTTCCTGCTTGTACCTCAAAACTTGTCTTCGTTGAATAAGCTGAAGATTCTGGCCACGTCTATTTCTTTGCCTGTGCAAAATAGCGTGGACAATTGGTAACATTTTTATTTTTATGACAATTTCACTATATTTCACTACATATTGACAAAACCATGACAAAACGATGAAATTTAACCTAATTCGAGACTTCCGAACCTGTCGAGGCATTTCGATCGAAATAAATCGATCAGTCGAATGTCGTGAACAACTACTTTCGATCTTCGAGCAAAGATGACAAACCTTAAACGAATATCGAGTTTCGTGATCCCACAGCAGAACTTGTTTTTTCATATAGTATAACACGAAAGTATACTTGGAACATTGACACATATCTTTTTTGAAAGAAAAGATTGGACTTTTTCTGTAAATAAATTATTAAGAAGATAGGCCCCTTCGTAATAACAAAAACAAATGTTTGGCTGTTTGACAAAGCAGATATGCCGCTAAAATTGAATAATGGCCACACGGTGTATTATGGAGATATGCCAGTTCGTCACAACATAGATATGGTTCTTTTAAGTATTTTTATGGGAATAACTCAATTTCGCCAAATATTGAGATCGTACTGACAGCGACGATATATTGGACCTGAGTGATGAAGCTTTGTTAGCATATCAAGAAGCAACTACTGGAACAGAGAAAGAAAATTGGTAAGTTGCTATACATGAAGAAAAACAATCATTAGACCAAAACGAAACTTGGAAACTCATTGATAAAAATGAAGTGAAAAATCAAAGAATTTTGACCAGCAAGTGGGTATTTACTGTAAAAGATTCTGGTAAATACAAAGCACGATTAGTGATAAGAGGATGTCAACAATACAGTGGCATAGACTACAATGAGACGTTTAGCCCAGATGTAAATACTAGTTAACTAAGAATTTTATTTGCATTAGCAGCCAAAACTGACATGAAAATTACAAAATTTGATAGAAAAACTGCATTTTTATATATCAGAGGAAATCTACATGCATATACCAGTAGGTTACATAAATGAAACAAGAGAAAATAAAGTATGCCAATTGAAAAAATCCCTGTAAAGTGCAATGAATGTTTTACGAAATTTTTGAAATCAAATGGTTTAATTTGGAAGAAGACCAATGTATGTTCACGAATAAAAAAAAACACTATATTTATTAAGCAATTTATGTAGATGATGGTTTGGTGATCAGTAAATGTGAAGAAGAAAGAACAAATCTGCTTAAAACCCCTAAAAGTGAATTTAAAATGACTATTGATGAAAATCCTGAAACATTCTTGGGAATTGAGATTGAAAACCTGCATGGTAAAATTATACTAAATCAGAAAAACTATGTACAGAGTGTTTCCTCATATTTTGACCCCTACCTACAGCTTTAGCTATACGAGGTGGAAAAAAACTTTAAATATGAAAGTTGTACGGTTTTATTAGTAGTATATTTTTCCGCTTCTAAAACAATCAAATTCAATTTCATATTTAAAGTTTTTTTCCACCTCGTATAGCTAAAGCTGTAGGTAGGGGTCAAAATATGAGGCAACACCCTCTACAGACAACATTGGAAAAATTCAATATGCAAAATTCAAAATCAGTACCCACGCCGATGGCTTTACAAGATAAGGACCCTAAAAACAAAATTGTCGATACAAGCTACTTATATAGAGAGGCTGTTGGTAGCCTGTTATACTTAGCCAATAATTCAGGCCAGACATTTCATATGCTGTGAATTATTGCACAAGAAAAATGGAAAACCCTTCAGATCAAGACATTGTGAATATAAACAGACTGTTTCGTT